GTGGATACAAACTGCTTAAAATGTCAGACATCTTCAGAAGTCACCGTCGGCTATGTCAAGAACAATACAATGTATTGTCTGTTTGTTGATTTTCGATGATTTTCATAAATAGAATGGTTAATTAAGATTCAGGTATTATGAACTTTACGATTATCATCTTCCATTTTTATACGTATATTGTGGTTGCCCCTGTCGGTCCGTCGGTCTGTCACATTTACCTCGTGCTCACTCTACAGGCTACAATTCTCAATAGATTCTTTTGATTTTTGTATGTGTGTCAATATGATTATGAAGACGTGCACTATTGAATTTGGTGAGGATCCGATGATTTTCTTTAGAGATGTCGCATAAAACTCTGATATCGCGTTCGTTTTTTTTTCTTAACGTTTTTGGCTCGTGCTCACTCTACAGACTACAATTCTCTATTGATTCTTTTGATCTTTTGTTTTTGTGTCAATATCATTATGAAGTTGTGCACTATTGAATTTGGTGATGATCTGATGATTTTCTTTGGAGATATCGCATAAAACTCTGATATCGCGTTCGTTTTTTTTTATCACTTTTTGGCTCGTGCTCACTCTACAGACAACAATTCTCTATAGATTCTTTTGATCTTTTGTATTTGTGTCAATATCATTATGAAGATGTGCACTGTTGAATTTGGTGAGGATCCGATGATTTTCTTGAGAGATATCGCATAAAACTCTGATATCGTGTTTTTTCACTTTTTTGGCTCGTGCTCACCCTACTGGCTACGATATAGAGTTTGTTTTACAGTTCACATTTAGCTCTTTATCAAGCTGCTGCGTATTCGCTTGCGAGACTTGCTACAAGGCTATGTTGTAATTAATGATATAACTCACATTCTGGTTATTATTATTATTATCATCATTATCATTGATCTAAAATAAATACTGAGCATTGTTAAAAAAGATAGAGAAATAACATCCACGCTATTTGAGTGTCAGATGTAATATCTGCACAGTAGGAGTGTAAGAATATAGTATAAATATTGAATCCAACTCAGCATTCGTCAGTGTCAACATTCTTGTTCATTCTATACCCTCGAAAGATGAATACTATCCTGTGTTCAATTTTGTTGTTATCGGTAACGACACTGATTCTTATTGATGCCGGTAACTGTTGATATTTATTATGTATCAGCAAAATGGATATATTCGGTCCAAAATTATGATATTTGATACAGCAAGATTGAAAAGTTTATTATAAAGACAATTATAGAAGGTCAACAAAGGTCTTGAAATACCATCAAAGGTAACTGAAATGAAACATATATACATATATGAAATTTTCAGATTGTGTTGGTTATCCTAATGTAAGCAACGCAGATTTTCATAGGAACGAACAATGTTCCGATATAGTAGAGATGACTTGCAGCGACGGATATAAAATGGAAGCGGCGATAAAATTGATAAGTGAAATGTGGAAATACCAAAAACCAGTTTGTAAATTAGGTAGGATAGTTCATACAGCCCTTTTATATTCCTATTGAACTCCATAAAGATACCAGTATTCATCAGTATTTGCCTTTCTCACAGGCTAACATTTCGACTCGTAGTTTGGTATTTCATCACCATCTTCTGTTAAACTGTTAAAGTAATACTAGTAATATTTTTTTCTTATATAGTACATTCTACGATGTACATGATAACATGATATTACAGTTTAAATATAAAAACATGACAACCTACTATTACCAATCACATATTTTCCATTATCTTAACCTTTCCACATAACAGGAATCGTCCCGTTTATTCTCTATGTAATATGGTGACGATAAGGTTAGTTGTTTACAGATTTCTAACAAATCTCATTGTGAACGCATGACAAGCATGGGCGGGGAGAATGGTGGGCGGGTGTTGCGGGAGCAAATACCCCCCACCTCTTCCAACAGTACTTCTGCCCCTACCTTTATGTTAGCACGGCTTCCACGGTGGACCGTTAGTATAAATCTCAAGATGTCTGATGTTGGATATTCATTTTTTGACTTCATTATAGGTCAATGTATGTCAGACCCGGAAATAGAAAATGGCGCCTTAGACACTGATATAGCATCAAGAGATATTGGAATTGAATATAGTTATACTTGTAACCCTGGATTTGGTAAATATGGAAATGAAGGTCATGTGATATGTACTGAAGCTGGTGAATGGGAGGCAAATATAACTTGTGAAGGTAACAGTGGCAGGGACAGGTTTACGTCCGAGAAGGGAGGGCGAAATATCTGAGATTGCCCGAATTTCTGACCTAGTTATGAGATATTTGCCAAAAAAACATGTCTTCGGTGCTACGAGTAGAGGGGTGATAAAAAATTGATTAAAACTGTAATTTCCTGAGTGTTAACGGTGACATTTGAAAGGATCGAGATAGATGCCTACAATATATACATCTGGGTTGACATAGTTAGTATGAATATTTGAACTAAATATTCGACTTTGTCGGAGATCCGTATTCTTGTTCTCACTGTCTCATGGTAGACATTTCACGGTAGACTGTATGTTCAAATCTAACGATGTCTTAATAAAGTCTTATGTTGGATATTTACCAATCATCTTTGACTTCATTATACGTCAATGTATGTCAGACCCGGAAATAGAAAATGGCGCCTTAGACACTGATATATCATCAAGAGATATTGGAATTGAATATAGTTATACTTGTAACCCTGGATTTGGTAAATATGGAAATGATGGTCTTGTGATATGTACTGAAGCTCGTGAATGGGAGGCAAATATAACCTGTGAAGGTAAGGCAACCATTTACTGAAATATACATACACTTTGGACAATGTTACTAATTCCAATATTTGTTTTCTCGAAGCTGTGTCCTAGAATTCCTTGCTAACATATCAAGTCACAAGTCATAAGGTATCTCGAGCTGACAGAAAGATTACATGTGCTTGAAAACAATCAAATGATTTATTTCCATAAGTCAAAAGTTCATTCAAAATACGTGTAGAATAAAACTGTCAATTCTAGAGTGTTAACGAAGAAATTTGGAAATCAAGGTTGCTACTGAATTGAACCGTGAATTTATCGAAACAGTGTCCCAGAATCGCCTTCTCATGATTCAATACCTGCAAAGATATATAAATATGATATAAACGTGTACTTAAGGAACATGACATAATAATAACTTGGTTTGCGGGGAATGTTAAAACCTGATTTCGCGACCGCTGTATTGACTCCATGTCGCGGGTATTATAACATTTCTCTGCCATTGATGTATCGACCACTATTTTAACAGTGAAAATATGTAAAAAAAAAAAAAAACAATATCGTCAAATGTGTATTTTTTTTTTATTTAAGATTGTTTCAAATATACCTGGAAGAAATACGTAAAGAAAAAACCCTATAGAACTCGATATGGACGTAATCAAATTTCATGCCGGCGAGCCTGTAATAATGATGATCGATGTACAACCTGGTTTGCATCTTTTGTAAGTTGTGAACTTCATGGAAAACCAACTATTGCAATCTCACGTGAAAGCCTTAGAAACTGTAAAAAAAAATGTGCCAAGCTGGCTGACTGTGAATTAATGAGTTGGAATTTTATTTGTACCCTGTTTAACGTAACAATGGATAATTTACCTAGAAAACATAAGGTTTTGTCCAGAAACGGTGCTTTTATTGGTGAAAATTTATGTAAATAGAGCTTTTTCGTTTTTCTTTTAAAGGAATTGGTAATGCATTTCTTTTATGTAAGGACATTTATATTTTGCACCAATTAACATGAAATAGTAAAACAATGATTTCTCACTCTATTAATATTAATTTACTCTATATCTATATAAAATTCATTTATTATTTGCTATAGAGAGACAGGAATGGTCCTATGTTTATGAAGTTGGCACACAGTTGCCCTAACGGATGCTATAATAATAGATTTGTTTTATTTTCTTAAAAGTGTGAATTCTTTTCTGTGAATTTGAAGTCATATAGAAATTAATAAATACTGTCTTATGGATTAAACCTCAAGATTAATCATTCCGATCTACGCCGTGTATTTTACTTTCCAATTATTGTAAGCATTGAGATCATCCAAGATTCTATAATATTATTTATGAGTAAACTCGTTGGTCACATTACCGACAATTAGAACCATATTGTAGAAATGAAATGATTTCCATCTATCGAGGGATATATAACGTACACAGCCTGTAGCACACAGGACCTCAGAGTATTCTCCAATCCAAATCACTAGACGATTTCTACATGTCAGTCAGTTCAATATGCATCTATTACCAGGGGAAACCTAGTTGAAATATCTGCAAGATCTGGACCCTTGACTTTTTGTTAGCCAGCAAGCATTAAGGTCAGTGAACCACCTCGGACCCATTTTCCTAATTGAGAGGCCGTCGTCACAATTTATTGTTTACAAATTAGCTTAAACAGTGAATTTGGGAACGTTAGAATCTATCCAAAATTTATCATCGCTATCATGAAACGGCTTCTACTTGACACGTTTGGATTGGAAAGCAACGTCAGTAGAAGTTAGAAAGGGCGCTGGTAGAAATCTTGTTAGATAACAATAGAGACAAACAATATCGGCAACAAAAACGAAACAAAATTGTAATCTAGTTGTAATATTGCCTATATACCTGCCCAGTCGACGACAGACAGTACCCACATGAGTGTAGTCACAAATACATCCTCTGTCTTAACACACACTGTTATGAACAGTCGTCCCTATTACCATTCGTGTTCTCCTCGATTTTTATTTGTTTAATTTAAATTTTGAGACAACTGCATGTACCCAGTCACGTGACCATTTTAATTTTTTTCTTTAACAAATAGCAGTCTCATGAAAATTAGACTTACTTCCATCCGTTTCGAATGTTTTATTAGCTATTAGCTTTCTAGGTAATCCCTCAGACTTTTCATTCTGTTAACCTTTGCTTGACCTCTGTTTTAACCAATCACGTGGCGACCCTTTCCTTAATTATCCCGTCGCGGGAAGGGCAGCCATATGATTGGTTAAAACGGAGGTCAAGCAAAGGTTAACAGAATGAAAAGTCAAGAAGGACAGTGTTAGACTTCTCCCTTCAAATTTATGGGGAGCCGCGGTGGCTCAGTGAGTTAGACGCTTGCTCGCTAACCTGAAGGTCCAGGGTTCAATCCCGGCATAGGTCGAGATAATACCTTCGGATTTTTCAACCCGGTTTCCCCCTGTCAGTGATGCAGGTACGAGGGGCTGACATGGAAAAAGCGTCTAGTCGTTCGGATGGGACAATAAACCGAGGCCCCGTGTGCTACAGGCTGTGCACGTTAAAGATCCCACATGGTGCAGAAAAGTAGGACGTAAAACTCCATTCATTTCATTTCATTTCAAATTTATGTTTTAAATAAAACAAATTTGTTTTTAAATTTTTTTTATTATCTTCTCCTTGCCCTTGATCTCCTCGTGGTCTGAATCTCAGTTTTTCTGGCTTGTTTCCCGCTTGGTATATCATGTGAATCGTCCGTAACACAAAATAGTTTATACACAATACAAGACACTTTTGAGCTGCTTGACTTTATAATCTGAATTATAGTGTCTCGATCTAAAATTACTCTGTGTTCCCAGAACTGACAGTATACATATAATTCAAGAGACGGACGCGTCATTTTGGGGGTTTGATTTGAGTCTTGAATATATGTAAATAGTCTTACGAAGTACTAAAAATGTATGGCGCTGTATTTGGTTCAAAATAGGATCCAGATATGATTGTATAATTTCTAAAATACGAGTATTTTTACGTGTTTTATCTCCTATCTTATTTACTTTTTTCAATTTGAGTCTTCTAGAACCTAATTTTAACCATAGACTTTGTAGAACACAGAACGCGAATTTAACCTTTGGAATTTCACTACTGGATCTTGTTCGCTGAATCGTAATCTTTCGACTTTCTTCACTGGATCGTGTTTGCTGAATCGTGATCTTTACCTAAGAAATGACCACGCGATTTTAAGAATTTATACAATCAGATCTGGATCCTATTTTGAACCAAATGCAGCGCCATAGAAATGTACCAACATCGCATAATTCATTTAAACTTAAAATACTTCAAACTAGGAATTTAACTCCCTATTTCTATATATGTCATTTAAACATTCAAACGTGGATAATTCTGGACACACGTGGATGTGAATACTATTACTGATTGTCTTAGCTAAAAAATATCCCGTTTCTAAGACTAACGAATGATTGGTAAAACATATGACGATTGGCGCATCTGTCCCATTGAAAGGTGATATGTGTCAGCATAATAAAACAGGAACTATGACTAAATCCTGTTTCCAAATGACCATGATTGTTAAACAATCTTTTATCAATATTATGCAGTGAATTTTGGTAATAAGTTAATCAAGTCCCATGCTTTGTTTTATCATGTATCTGAGACTTGGTGTTGTTTTGTTCGTGTAGCTGAGGTCTAGTATTGTTTTGTTCGTGTATCTGAGGTCTAGTATTGTTTTGTTCATGTATCTGAGGTCTGGTATTGTTTTGTTCATGTATCTGAGGTCTGGTATTGTTTTGTTCGTGTAGCTGAGGTCTAGTATTGTTTTGTTCGTGTAGCTGAGGTCTAGTATTGTTTTGTTCATGTATCTGAGGTCTAGTATTGTTTTGTTCGTGTATCTGAGGTCTAGTATTGTTTTGTTCATATCTGAGGTCTAGTATTGTTTTGTTCATGTATCTGAGGTCTAGTATTGTTTTGTTCATGTATCTGAAGTCTAGTATTGTTTTGTTCATGTATCTGAAGTTTAGTATTGTTTTGTTCATGTATCTGATGTCTAGTAGTGGTTTGTTCGTGTATCTGAGGCCTGGTAGTGTTTCTTCATGTAGTTAAGGTCTGGTATTGTTTTGTTCATGTATCTGAGGTATAGTATTGTTTTGTTCGAGTATCTGTGACTGGTAGGGTTTTGCTCATGTAGTTGAGGTCTGGTATTCAG